AGATTCCCTGGCTTGGATACTAGCTTCCAAACTCTCCTCCCCTGGCAGTTCTACACTGGATGGCACTCATCTGCTGTGTGCCTGGCTTCAGGCAGGAAGGCCACTTGCACAGGGTTATTTTCAAGATGGCTTATGGCTCATTTCTTACAGCAATCATGTGTGACCTATGGGAAACACCCACCTTAACCTCATCATTGGTGAAAGTGCCCTTTATTCAGCTCCCACAGGCCACTTCAGACATGTCTTACCTTGGGACCCTTTCAGAGTCAAGTACCATTCCTATGTTCCCCAACATCTAAAGATCTCCAGGTCAAGGTGCTGAAGTAGTTATTTTGAAACATGCTGCTGGGCTTAAAAAGAGCGGAAACTCCCAATTCAATTTGAGACCAGTATTACTCTTATACCAAAACCAGACACGAAGATTTAACAAGAAAACTACAGACCAATATCCTTTATGAATATAGATGCAAATATTCTAAACAAAATACTAGCAAACCAAATCCAGCAGCATAGAAAATGGTTTATGTAGCATAGACAAGTGGGATTATTCCAGGAATGCAAGATTGGTTCAATATACAAAAATCCATCAATGTAATACAACATATCAATAGAATAAAGGACAAAAACTACATGACAACCTTAATAGATACAGAAGAAGCATTTGACAAAATCCAATATCTTTTTTTTTTTTGATAAAAACACTCAATAAACTAGGAATAGATGGGAATTTCCTTAACTTGAAGCATCTATGAAAAACCCACAGCTAACATCATACTTAATGGTGAAAGACTGAACGCTTTCCCCCTAAAATCAGGAACAAGAAAAAGATTTCCACTCTTGCCACTTCTATTCAATCTTGTACAGAGGTGCTAGCCAGGGCACTTAGGCAAGAAAATGAAATAAAAAGAATCCAGATTAGAAAGGAAGTAAAAGTATTTCTATTCACAGATACATGATCTTGTGTATAGAAAATTCTAAGGAATTAAAAAAAGAATAAATGAGTTCAGAATAGCTACAGCATACAGGATCAATACTTAAAAATCAATTATATTTCTAGACACTAGCAATGAATAATCCAAAAATCAAAATTTAGAAAACAATTCTGTAATAGCATTAAAAAGAATAAAATACTTGGAAATATTTTAACCAAAAAGGTCAAGACGTATACACTGAAATCTATAAAACATCATTGAAAGAAACTAAAGACCTAAACAAATGGAAAGACACTCCACATTCATGAATTGAAAAATTTAATACTGTTAAAATAACAACATTCCTCAAACTGATCTATATATTCAACACAATCACTACCAAAATCCCAGGTGCTTGTTTTGCAGAAATTAACATGTTGATCCTAAAATTCATGTGGAATACAAGGGACCCAGAATAAGACAAAATGATCTTGAAATAGAACAGAGTAAGAGAACTCATACATCCCAAATTCAAAACTTACTATAAAGCTATAGTAATCCAAACACTGTGGTAACTGGCATAAGGATAGACATACAGAACAATGGAATAAAATTGAGAGTCCAAAAATCTTATATTTACGGTCAATTGTTTTTTGACAAGGGTGCCAAGACCATTCATGAGGAAATAATAGTCTTTTCAACAGTTGTTGCTTATATGACTAGATATCCACATACCAAAAGGATGAAACTGGATCCCTACAATGCACCACATGCAAAAATGGGTCAAAGACCTAAATATAAGAATTAAAACCATAAGATGCTTAAAAGATACAACCAAGAGAAATGAAAATTTAGGTCCACATAAAAACTTGTACACAAATTTTCATAGTAGTAATATTCATAATAGCCAAGAAGCAGAAACAACGCAAGTATCCATCAACTGAGTAGATAAACAAAAAATACAGTATATCAATACAATGACATTATTCAGCCACAAAAAGAAACAAGGTACTGATAAACATGCTACAACATGGATGCACTCTGAAAACATTACTCCAAGCGGGAGGAAGAAAAAAAAAGACACAAAGGCCACATATTGTATAATTCCATTGATATGAAATGTCCACAACAGGCAAATCCATAGGCAGAAAGTAGATTAGTGGTTGCCAGGGGCTGGGGATTAAGAACAGTGATGAAAATGCTCTGGAATTATATCATGATGACAATTGCACAATTCTGTGAATATACTAAGAACCACATATTTTACAATTTGAAAAGGGTGAATTTTACGGTGTATGAATTATATCTTAATTAAACAATGATGAGGAAAAGCACTCCTCTTCCATTTTTCAGATGGATGAGGGAAGGTCAATTCTTGCTCAACAAATTTTTATTACAAACATTTTCAACCTCTCACTTAAGACTTCCCTTTCTCTTATTTTCTGGCAAACATTGGGAGAACCCATCTGTCTCTCAGGATGTCTTGCAAGATGTTAAACAGCAATACATATCTCAATTTCATTGAATCCTGACAACCAGTGATAAGGTAGGATTGGGTATAATCCAAGCCAAGGGAATGGCAGGGCCAGGACCGAAAACCAGAGTCATCTAACTCTGAAGGCTGCTCCCTCAACCACTGTGTACTGTTTCCCAGATACATCCAATCCCACTTTGTATGGTTTCCTAGGGTGAGAAGGTAATTAAAATAATTATCCCAGGTACTGCTCAGTTGTCTAAGAATCTTGATTTGATGTTTAATTTTTGTCAATGGGAAAATGACAGATTTTAGATTCATGTTGGCCCAGGCCCTGTTTCTCTATTTACTGGGCGTAGGGCTTTGGGCAGGTGAAATGAAAGATCATATATACAAGACTGTGCACTAGAAGTTAACTCCCTCCATAATCTAAAGGAATTCAACTTAGATGAGTGTAAGAAAATGCTAAATATGACTCTCATACAAAAGGCACTCACCATGGTGAATGCTTCATTTAGTATAGAGAGCAGTGTTTGGCTGAGAGGTTGAGGATCTGAGAATCGCTCCTTGATAAGCATGAGTGGCTGGCAACAGCACAATGGTGTAAGATGACTGTCAGCCTCTATTTCCACTGAGAGAGAAGGGAAGAATGTGGATACAGAGAGGGTAGCTGCAGAAACTTCTAGTTGCCAGTATACCGGAAGATGGGAAATGTTACACAAAAATCTTGCTTTTAAGGGCATTTTCATACCTCCTCTTTATCTTCCTTTCCATGGGCCAAAATGACAGAGCCAATAATTTCAAGGAGCCTCCTCACTGGGGAACAAATCTTTAACCACTAAATATTAAAATATTTTAAATTTTTTAAATAAAAAGTTTTGTCAAGATGGTGGAAAGATGGATTCAAATCTTTAACAAAGTAAGCACCTACTATATGTGAAAGACAAAGACTTTAAAAAGACAATCCTCACCAGGAATATATATTCCAATTTAACAGAAGCTTCAGAAACAAAGCGAAAACATGGAAAGGATCGTATCAAGATTAGCCTGAAACACTCCTTTAACAATTGTAACTCCTCGCTGTTCAAATACTACTCCACCATGCTGTGCTGTGAGATGTGTGGGCTGCTATGAGGTTACTGAGGCACTTGGGCGGGGCAGGGGGGTGATCAATAAAGTCTTTATGGACAAGATGCTTTTAAAATTTGGTTTTGAAGGATATTTGAGAAATATAAAATCATTAGGTCTATGACAAGTGAAGATGCTGTGTAGGAAATGTGCACGTGGAGAGAGGTGCCTGTAATAGAAGAACTGAAAAGGTAGGTTGGGCTCAGTTTGTGGAGATCAGAGGATGCCTGACCTGGGAATTTATTCAAAGAACAGGTTTCTGGGTGGAGGGTATTGGCAGAAAGAAAAGGTTTACAATAAGAAGTTAGAGTCAGATAAGTTAGGAAGGAAATAAGAACATCGAGGTGGGTTAGAGGAGCAAGGCCTGAAAGGAAGCCTAATTGAGTAACAATGAGAAATGATTTTGATGACTTGTACAAAGGTAACACTTTTAAGAAAGCAACAGAAAGTGGCTGGAAGAGATGCTAATTTAAGAGTTTCATTTTTAGGCATACTGACTTTGAACACCAAAAATATAACCTAGAGCTAGAAGTCTGAGCAGAAGACAGGGAAGTAGAGAAGAATCTTTAGGAAGGGCTGAGGCTGACCAAAGAGAATGGAAAAGATTCAGATAAGAACTCAAGATTTGGATAAGTTGCTATGGAACTGCAACTCATGCTGCAGTTAGAGAAGCAGCAGCTCAAGTACAGGGTGTTGCCAGTGTTTAAAGATAAGAGTTCTTGATTTTGGAAATTAAGTTATGAATATCCTCAAGCAGTGCATTTTCATGAAACAGCACTGGATTAAGTCTTTCTCATAATTAAATCCAGCCCATATATTCATCAGAATCTTCTTGCAGTGATTGCTACAAGCATCAATCCACCATCTTGGAACAGGGAAAGGAGAAAAGGCTTGAAACTTTCTATACTTATAAACCCACCCTCCCCAGACAATTCTTACACACTTAACACTGTGGATAAAATGATGCAAGACAAGAAAAGGAACCAGTGAAAGTTGTGTATTTTTATTCTTTGGTGCCCTTAGGGAGGGGTGGGAAAAGTACAGATAGTCTTAGAGGTTGATGGAAGGACAGAAAAATATTTTTGAGGTAAGCAGTTAAAGGGGGATCAAGATAACAGAAAGAATAGTTTTGGGGAGACACTTCTTCCTCTGACAGTTTGTATAGATTCTTGGGAAGATCCTTAAAAGGGGTTTAGAATCTCAACACAGCCAAGTTCCTGTGGGAAAAGGAAGTGATGCTGCCCATAACAACCACTTGTAGCAAATTTTGTTTATTTAAAGCCTCAATTTCAAGTTTCTTTTTGGTATGTATCTCCCTCTATACTCTTATATCCCAAACTAAAGTTAAAGAAACTGTAACTGGATTTCATCAAACAATTAACCACAGCCCAGGAATGTAGTATACAGGGTCAGGATACCCATTTCATTTGCTGGAACTTCCAGACTCCACAAAAGTCTGGCTGAAGGCTGTGTTTTCATGCTTTATGTTTGAAATATTCTACAATAATACTAAAAGGTAAAAGAAGTTTGCATTTTATTTTAAAAACCAACTAGTTTACAATTTAACACACCCAAGAGCATCCTGGAGATTGGGGGCCAATTCAAAGAAAAGTACTTTTATAATAATTTAACATCTGGGGTGTAGGGAGTAGCTTTTACACTAAAAGTTTATATTGTTTTCCTCTTTCTTAACATATTGTTCAGTGATGTTCTAATAATCAATAGTGAAAAGGAAATAATAACAGAAGTGATAATATGCACAGAATAATTGATTACTAAGTAATAAGAGCAGTTAATTTCTACAATCATTTTTTTAGTTAAAAATTTTTTAAGGATAGGTTGGTTTTTGACTCCTTGTTAAGTCTATTTGATGTGAATTATGAATCTGATAACCTATATATGATTATCATTTTAAAACTTTTCATACAGACGTGCTATTACAATTGTAGAAGTTCAATACTGTTGTGATAATAAAACTTGAGAACTAAAGAGCACAAATTTCTTCATGAATTTATTATATAAAATGTCCCCAAAGCATTTAATTTCTCCTCACTTTCACAATACATAAGAAGCACAGTGGATGAGAGGGCCTTTAAAATGACTATAGTCACATGAGGGTCCCCTTGCATCAAGGTAATGTACAAATACCTTAACAGGGTACTCATAAGCTGGCCCAGAAGAACCCCATGTTACCTTATCACAATATGGAAAGCATTTTCTTTTTCCCACTAAACTATGGTGAAAAATGCCACTGTTTTATTTAGCATTACAATACATAACAATTCTGTCTCAATTACTAAAAGAATTAAAATAATCCTGAAAGACATCCTTTTTCCCCTCCAATGATTTGAAAGCTGTATTTTTCCTGCCAATTTCAAGCAAATCATCAGGTTGATCTCCAGTAATCAGTTAAAACAATCATCAAGGCACAAGCTCAGCACATTAGCTGTAACTTGCAGTAAAATGATATATCGATATGTCTCTCCTTAGTTAAAAATACATAATCCTTTTATTTTATAATGTAATAAAAGAAATTAACATCACAGACGCAGAATACTAGGAAAAGGGAAACTACTACATTAAATATCCAGAAACTTAAACCTACCTGTACTTTTCTGTAGTACATGAAATTAATCTTTAACGCTTACTTTTTAAAGTAAAATTTAATCTTTGGGGATATACAATGTAATTCTTAGGAGTAATATTTCCATTCATTCCCAGGCCTTCTTACTATATGACTAAGTAACACAAGGCACAGCAGCCATCCTTTCCATTACGCTGCAACACTGATCGTGTGCCTTGATAAAATAGCTGATTAAACAAAATGATGGCAACATGAAGGGGAAACTTTGGATTGTCTATTTAAAATCTAGGTAATAATTAATAAAAAGTTTATTTTAAGTGCACTTTCACATGCTTTCGTTTATAATAAAACAAACTTACTAACTGACTACCATATCATTTGGCCAAATGCACTTTCCCCAGTAAACTTAAAACAACAAGAACAACAACAACAACAACAACAACAACAAAAAAAATCCCTGTCCTTTCATATACTAAGAAAGAGGATTGGCTACTTAAACAATTCATTGCAAGACACGTGAAGACAACATACTGTGGCATGAGTTGTTTTTAATTTGTTGTGCTGTTACTAAAGTCAAGTTCTGAGGGCTGCAGTTAAAACATTACGAGTTCTCCCTTCCGTCTTTATTGATTCCCAAGATTTTGCACAGAAAACTCTTTGGGGGCTAGAACAGCAGTACTTGCATCACACTGTTTCCAAGACTTCAAGTTTAAAAAGCAAATCGTTTAAAAAAGAAAAAATACAGTTCCTGATTTGAGTTAGATACAGGGACAAAAAAGAGCACATACTTGAAGGTTACATGGTCTACAAATGGTGGCAATGTTTTCCTTGGGGGAGTAGTTTTGTTGGTATATATATTTTAAATACTCAAAAAAGGCTCAACCTCAAGCAGTAATAAACACAAGCAAAAGTGATTTAACCCTTAAAATAAATATTCAGAAAAACCTCTCTGTACATACAAGTGAAAGAATATGTAACACTTTCACGCAAAAAAATAATTATAATAATAATAAAGGATTTGTTCATATATGTAGCTGAAATCTGCTGTTCCAGCCCACATGTCCCCAATAAAGAAGGGAGGCACAGACATAGATGACTACTGTGGTTCACTATCTTACAGCCTTTTTGTACCGGGACACTATCACCACCAAATTTATCCCTCATTATATTTATTAAAATGTTTTTCTTTTTTTCATTTTTTTCTTCCTTCCTTTTTTTTTTTTTTTGTTTTTATTTTGTTTTACAGCATGCCAAATCCTTTGGCATACGTGATGGCCTTCAACAATCTCTCTTTAAGTTTTTCTTTGCTTGAATATTCCGGAAGTAAAAGGACATTAAAGCAAGTATGAGATGTAGGTAACCTAAATAGAGAGAAAGGAGAAAAACAGGAAAATAATAAGTCATGGGAAATATGCTCAGTATTAAATGCTCCTATTTTTAGATGGTATATACAGGTGAGATGGTTTGCAATGAAGGCTATACATCAAAGTAAATATAACTTTTTGTTCTGCAACCACAGAATCAGTTTGTCTTTACCTTATAAATTAATGATAATATGATGGTGATGATGACAATATTTGTATTGGTTATATTATTACAACATAACGAGTTTTTAGGTAGTTAATTAACTAAATCTCTCATAAGAAATATATAGTGGATTAACACTAAACCCTTAAGAGTTGAATTCACTGAGATGTTAGACAACTTACTCTAAGGTGAAGAAAATATTCAGAACTGGTTTTAAGATTTAAAAAGTCTGTGTTCTTTAATGTTTATTAGAAGCAGTGTTGGCAATATAACTATGAAAATGTTTTATAACAAACAAATTTATTTACATTAACACCATGATGTATCAAATAATGTAGAATAAATCCTAATGGAAATGTTTGTATACATTTAAAACACTAAATATGCTAGTTCATGAATGGTCTTTATCCCACAAAAATGTGAAGCTATACAATGGGGAAAGAAAACAATTAAATGCCAAAACTGAGGTTTCAAGCATATTCTAATGCTGTACAGATAATCTTCCAAACCTTAATTTAACCATTCTAAATAGATTATTATATAGTATGGTTTTCAATTAACAGTGAACCAAAATGGAATGAAACATACTAATTTGAAAAAATTCTAAACCAATGCAAGCCCCTACTAATTTTTAATGAGGCACTTTTTCAAAAATTTCCTAACAATAACAGCAAAATATTCCCTCATCTAATGCTTCATGTGATTTGGAAATTCCTATATAAAAATCAGAAGTGTTCAAAAGCTACAATAGGTCACATGTGTGTGATATGTAATGCAAGGTTTTCAGTAGCCATGTAGTGATAATTTAATAATTACCTTTCTGTGTCTGGGCCATTTTTGGCTATAATCATCTTTAATTTTCCTAGTCCTCCCACAGGTGCTCTGTCTGTGCCCGTGGTAAATTGCAAGAAGAGTCTTTTCTGTTCATCTGTAAATGAATGAACGATTTCCCAGAACTCCCTAATGAGAAAACATACAGGACTGATTTTAGTTTGACATTCACTTTACCAACAATATAAGCTTATATTGTATATAAAAACAATGTTAAGGGACAAGTTTAAAGTAACATTAGAAATTCTAAATATTCATTCCTGGTTATTTAGTAAGTCTACTTAGGCAAATTTATTTTAAGTAAACAATTCTAAATACATAAAATTTAAGTTCATGACTATATAATCTGCAATAGTAAAAAAACAGCAAAACATGTCCTAGCACAAGGAAATGGCTGAATACAATGGTATAATCATAATATATGTTTAGTAAAAAGCAAAAAGCAAAATTGTCAGAATTGAAAAAGATTTAGATTGTAATATACTAACTTCAGATGCTTTCAAGTATATTATCTATCCTTCCTCTCTTATTTCCCTTGTCCATTCATTCACTCCTTACTCAATTTTGTAAGGGAGAACAAGGGTGAAAAACCACAAAATGATACAAATAAACCAACAGAACAACCACCTACTTATTAACAGTAATAGAAACATAAACAATTTTTATATGAACTAGAATACTTGATCAAGTAGCATGTATTGTATAAGAAGGGAGAGAATATATTATCATGGTATTTATGTCATATGCAGTTACTTTAAGAAAATTATTTTATCGTATTTCTAAAACCTATGTAATAAGTGCAATGTCGCATGACACTTAGGTTATTCTGAAAATGAAAGCTCATAAAAGCAATCTTGGCATGCTTGTTTAAATAATCAGCTATATCAATAAAACTAATATACACATTAATTCACAACTTAAAAACTTAAGACTTCAAAAGAAAAAATTGAGTATTTTTACTTGGGTACAGAAGGCATTGTAAAATTCACTTTAAAAGTTCTTTCCAGAATTCTGGCAGAGAATGCCAAACTACCCAAATCAGTAATTACAATTCTACTTTTTTTATATTCTTTTTTACTACTAAATACTGGTGATTTTATTGTTACAATACCATTCTTCTGACAAAACACACTGTTTCCAAGGCTTTTTTCAAAAGCCTTATGAGATTTCATCACTTTATTCAATTTCCTTCCACTTCCTTTCTTTGCCACCATTAATGACCTTCCCATTCTCAGTTTCTGCAAACCTATCACTTGCCTAAATGAAATAATAAAGATATACAAAGTAAAGGAAACTGGACATGTAACTTGCAGAACCATCTCTCAGTTAAAAAGTAAAGGAATCACACCCCAGTTTACGTACTTTTGGGGGGCTGGCAAGAGAAAAACATGTCTACTAAAGCACTGAGCCTTCTTCCAGCAGGGTGTGTGTGTGTGTGTGTAGGGGGGGGGGCTGCCCTGCAGTGGGTGATAATAAAGCTTCCCACACTGTAATCAGTTACTCTTAAGGAGCTAGAGTATCAGCTGCCAGCGAGGAAGACAGACACTGAAGTGGAAGATAGGCAGTGGTGACAGTGACCAAGTCAAGCTTTATAATTAAAAAGTTATTTCTTTGGTTATATTTTTTAATTAAGAAGTTAAAAAAAACAGACTACTATCAACTCAACATAATGGAAACACTTATTCAATAAAATTCACTTCCTATGTGATGTGCAATGTTAAACCTCTAATTAAATAAGAATGCCTCTATTTAGAAAACTGAAGATGAAGCTTCCAGGTTTCTACATAAAAGTGGTAGTTACCTGGATCAGACTCTACTCACATCTCTGAAAATCTACACAGATCAAAAAGGACAGAAAACAGAATAAACAACGAATATCTAGAGTAAAAAAAGGAAATGGAGCAAAGAAATCCAAATGTCAATTGAGTGGGATAATGAACACTCCTGATCAGCAGTTAGCACATGAACTCAACACTAGCAAAGTGCTATGTGGAAAAGCAGGGTGTATAGATTAACACTGATGAGCTTTACCCCCACCCTAAGAGAGAACTACTGAGGGCAGGTTAGAGCACTGATAACAGGTTGGTTAAAAGCAAAGGCCACAGAACTAGGTACACTAAACCGTAATCTAAGCCACTTGGGAGGCTGAGGCAGGAGGGTCACAAGTTTGAGGCCAGCTAGGGCAACTTTGCAACACCATGTCTCAAAATTAAAATTAAAAAGGGTTGGGCGTAGCTCAGTGGCAGAGCCCTGAGCTTCAATTCCCAGTACTGCAAGAAGAAAAGGAAAAGAAAAAACAAATCAGAACAGGCAACAAGAAAATACCTAGACCAGAAAATGACACTGTGCCTGAAGGGAAGGGGAACAAAGGTGTCCCTTGAAAGTAGCTTCTGGCCACAAACAGATGGAAATGACTGGTAATAAGGGGGCTTTACCTAAACAAGATGGAATTCAAGAATCAGAAGGCACTGGACCACATAAACTTGAAAATATTTAAGTATATTTTATCATGCTTCCTTTTCACTAGAACTGTTTTTTTCGGTAAACAAATAGCACCCACTGATAAAGAAAAAAGATGACATAATGGTATATGTATACAAAAAGAGATGAAAAAAAAATTCCAAATCATCATTTTGAACCTCCACTGAAGTAACCGATTAAAGGGAAGACTGATAAGACCAGGGACTTCAAGTGAAAAATAAGTTATTGTAGGAAGATGATGGTAGCAATAACATCTTTAATTTTCATTTTTTTCAAAATAGGGCCCCCCACACACAAAAGTACAAATTGAATGAAAAAACCAAAGACCCATCACAAAATTAGGCAATAAGGTATTCTCCACGAATTCCTGCACGTAAGTGGACATGAACAAGCTGGAAGATCTGGTTGGTATCAACATCTATACATCAATAGAAGAGAAGTTAACTTCTGGGTTTCTGATAGCACTGAGAGGAAGAGACTCTCAAAATTGACACCCACTTAAAAGCACAAGTCAATCTGAGAACAGCAGTTAAAAGCTGAAGGGAGTTCTACAAAATTCAGTTTGTAGATGATTAATGATGGGTCAGGGCCCTTAAAACTCTTGAATAATCAAAACACCTTTCAAAAACAAACCCAGGCTGAGGAGATATTGCTGGGAACAACATCCAAATGGATCAGGTCAAGGATAAAACAGATAAAGGAAAGTTGAAATATATACAGGATGAGGTAGTAAAGATGACAATTTGAAAAAGCAGAACACCATTACTTTTTATCAGTTTACACAAACATAGAGCCCTTCTGAAGTGGTGGGGTGGGGGAAGCTATATTGGCCCGTCTCTCTCTCTTGAAAGTATGGGAAAGTCATTTCACTTAAAATGAAAATGAACAGAAAACAAAAGGATCACAGTGGAAATTGCCCCAAGTTATTATTAGAGTATGTTCATGAAACAATGTCCTTAGGGAATGAAAGTATAACAAAAGATCTCAATAAAACAGATGAAAAACGAAAACAAATTTCAAACTGAGCTAAAACAAATTTTAAAATAATGGAAGTTATTGAAGAACCATATCAAAACTTAAAAACTTTAGAAAAGCAGACTGAAGAAAAAGTCTCAAAAGATATGATTAAACTAAGGAGGAATTAGGAAAAAAATGGGGGAAAAATTATGCCAAATACAAAGAAACTAAAATTAAAACTAAAAAAGGAAGAAATAAAGATAAAAGCAATACCCCTCAAACAAAATAGAAATAAGAAAATCTTAAGAATTAGGGACGGGGGAAGCAATGAAACAATGCCTTGCATTCCTTCTTTATTTAGAGACAGTTTGTTGGCACTAACAGGAGGAATTTTGCTCTATGATGGGTTCTGGCCCTGGAAGTGCTACTTTATGCTGTGAGCCTCAAGAGTTCCTTGCAGCCCCAAAGTACCACATGGTCAGGAGCACTGCCCGACCACAGTTTATGAAGCATTCTCTAGCCCAGAGAGAGCTAGTGGGGTGCTCCTCCCTCACTCAAAAAACATTATGGAATGCTTTTTGGAAGCTTAGCCCAGAGAAGCCCCTCAAGTAGCACCATCAGGGACCAGTGTGTGGAAGCCCCCAGTGGAATGAAATAAATGAATTAAACCATAAGAGCACCACAAAACCTCTGAACACTAAAATTGTCATTGGAACCACAACTCAAAAAGCATACCAGGATCTACATGTGTTAAACCTAAACAGGATGACTGCCTGCTAAAGTAAAAAATCCCAAGTCTCTTAATATAGAGCCAAAATTATCACGATGCAATAAAAATTCACCTGTCATACCTTCACAAAGAAAAAATCTTTCATAAGAAACCAGAATAATCACAAAGAAAGAAAATCAACTAACGCCAACACAGAGATGAATAAGATGTTGAAATTATCTGACAAGACTTTTAATACCATCATGATAAAAATGATTTGACAAGCAATTACAAGTTCTGTTTCAAAAATGAAACAATAGACAATGTCAGGAAAGAAATACAAATTACAATAAAAAGAGCTAAATGGAAATTACAGGCCTAAAAAATATACTAGGAGAAAAATAATCACTGGATGGACTCAACAGTAAATGAAGATGACAGAAGAACAGAACAATAGAGAAAAAATAGAATGAAAAATGAACCAAGATTCAGGTACATGTAGAGCAATAACAAATGATTCAACATTTGTATCATTAGAAGCCCCGAAAGAGAAAAGAGAGTGAGGCTGAAAGAGTATTTGAAGAAATAATGGCTGAAAACCTTCCATGTTTGGCAAAGACACAGGACCATAGCATCAATGAAACTATTCCTCAGGAATACAGGGGAAAATAAAGTCACATTCAGATACATGAAATTAAAAGACTCTGTCATTACCAAACTGACTTTTAAGATCAGCTAGGGGAACTGTTAAAAGGTAGAATCTTGGAAAAAATAATGAAACAGATTACCACTCTTACAAGTTCTATAATGGATTTTTGACAACTGATATAAAAATTATGATGGTATTAACACTCAACATAAAAATATTAGTGAAGAAAAAGACCAAAAATGAAAGCAAGGTTTTGCATTTTATCCAAAGTAATGTTGATATCAGTGAACAACAGTAAGTCACATATGTATAAAGTGCTATCCACAGTAACCA